AAGATTCCTGCAAAGAGATTATAGATCTGTTATAAATGATGTTTTGTATTCAATGTTCAGTTTCTTAATCATCCATTGCACAGTGTACAGTGTACCACTGTTCTACTGTGATGATAATGCACCAAAATGCTGTGCAGCCAGCAATACACAATTATTCACTGGGAAAAATTGAACGCACAATGATTATGCTGTTTTTTGTGTTCGGTATCCTTGCAGCCTTAGCATAAGTTAAAATTAGCTCTTGAAAAATGGTAATTTTGCACATTAGCATAATACTAATGTGAGTTTTTAATAAACATGGCAGTGAGGCCCCAATGCACAAATGTCACAGATTAGAAGCTGTGAGTCTTTTAGGTGTACAGGTATTATTTGCACTTTTTGGGAAATTCTGAAGGGAAAGTCTTATCTTTTGTCAAATCGTTACATCTGTTTAATAAGAGAAGGCAATGAGTTGTACTTACATGTAATTCACATTTTTAATGATTCCATTTGCAGCACTGAGTTCAGTGGTACAGAATGAACATCCTCACCTGGTTTTTGAGCACACCAGCTATAAGCCTAGACTCCTAAAATCCACGTTACTTGAGAAAATGCTTTGAGCACAAATTTTAAATGAAGGTGCGCATTCTCCAGGGTTTAATCACCAAGTAACCCCTGCAATGCTATGTAGTTGCTGTAAGCTCCTTCAGGCAAACCTCTGTGAGGAAACGCAGAGAAGGTTTTTTTTTTTAGAACACAATTAAACCAACAGCAACACCAAGGCTTGTTCGCATTGCTGCTCTCTCTCTTCCAGGAGATGAGTCACTGCATGGTCAAACACATCATCTGCAAGGGTCTGGATTTGTTCTGGATTTTTTTTTTCCTGTTAAAAGCCTTTTTTTACACTCCCTCTGTGCCTTGTAGCAGAAGAAAGAGTATGTGCAAGACAAATATCAGACGGTTTCCTATCTGAAGCCTTCCATGTCACTGGCCTGGATAGGATCTACTCCCCCGTGACCCTGAATTGGGTGAAGCATTTAGAAAATGGATAGATGGATGGACATCCATCCCTAATGCCCAGAGGACAAAAAACAGTACCAGTCGCTCACTGGTAAATCCATTATGGAAAAGGGAGCAAAGCAATCGTGATCAAGTATATTTAGAGCATGATTGTAGTACAGTACGCTGCATAAGGTATGTTTTCAGTATACTGAAAAGTAAAAAGAAAGAAGTACAGTATAATAAGCACAGCATTTCTGCTGTGGAGCACTCCCACACCTTCTGCTTTGCAGCGTGGAATTAAGCTCTGCTTGTTCTTTGCAGCCCACAAGCTGATGCAGCTCCCCTCTCTCTCAAGGGTGTGTTTTTATTTTTGTAAAAGCAGGTCATGCGTTTGAACCGATTTGTAGTTTGAGAACGGAGAGCGTGTGCAGTTTGCAGGGAAAGATGTATCGACGACCAGCACCCCACATGAGGCTTTTTTTGCTCAAATACTTTAGGAGATGCTTTAAGAAGAAATTTTAAATGAAGGCACGCATTCCCCAGAGCATAGACCTGGAAACGGAGTGTGTGCAATAAAGTGAAAGGGCATGTCTTATATTAAGTTAATATTTCACTTGTTAATATAAGTCACTTGTGCTTAAAAAAATAAATAGAACTTAAATACAGTACACAGTATGTGCATCCTTTAATATTGAGATATATATGAATAAAAAAGAAGCAATTTCTATCTGAACTGTTGGTTCATTATTGTTAATTGTCAAAAAGAAGGATAATTTTGTACTATATGATATAGTTTATTAAACATTCATGTTTACTCTTCTTATTTAATAGGTTTGACTCTTAAGCCCTGGGCTTAAGGCGTGCGTTCAATTCCAGGTTAAACAATGCTGTTGTCCCTTCACTCACAGTGCTCCAGTAAACCGTGCAGCTATACAGATTTGTACAAACGTTACTTTGGATAAAGACCCTTTCTGAATTAATAATAATATTGGCATTATTGAATAGCATTGCTTATAAATGAAGAGTGTGTGTATTCTTTTTAGATTTTAGTGAAAAATGTATAGGCTAAGCAGTAAGCAAACCAACACATTTTGTACAGAATATGACATTTTACAATGGACTGTACCGAGCTTCCCAGTAAAAAAGACAATTTTAATACAAGCCACTGTGTAGGTGCTTGTTGCATCCATATATTTTCTCACTGCTTCATCCAGTTCATTGTTGTGGGGAGAGCCAGAGCCTATCACAGCAAACAACAGGCACAATGTGCGATACGCACAGGACAGGACACTAGTCCATCACAGGGCACACACAGACATAAACACACTCGCAGCCGGGTCAGTTTTCCCAGAAGCCAGTTACACTTACCAGCATGTCTTTGGACTCTGGGACGAAGCTAGACCATCTACTGAAAGTCCACACAAACATGGGGAGCACATACACAAACTATGCAGATAGCGCCCCAGGGCCAGAATTGAGCCCAGGGATGCAGTGCTAATCACTGTGCCACCAAGCTGCCTAGTTTGTTACATGTAGATTCTTAGGCTTTAGATAGTTTCTTTTATAACTTTGAGAAAATCAAAAAACAAGAAAATATCAGTACATTAAGCCACCAAATGACTTGGTTTGTACACTAGCACTATGCCACTGCTGAACTGAACATGTTCTCATACTGACTTCCTTGGCTTTAATGTAAACTGGCACCAGGTGTCTTGTAACTAGGTTCTAATGAGATGTACCCGTTCACCAAAATAAAATCAATTTTTGAAAATTGCTGGCTCACACATTCTGTTTCCTCCCGGAAGCAGGACAACTGTGAAGATTAATCAGAGCTCACGCTGGGGCATCCTTGTGTTCTCAGGTCCAGGGAACAACGCGACAGGACAGTCCCGGGCCATGATCGCAGCCGCTGCCCGCAGGAGAGACTCCAGCCACAACGAGCTTTACTACGAGGAGGCTGATCACGAGAGACGCGTGAAAAAGCGAAAAGCCAGGTGATTCTCTTCCTGTGCACAGAGCAGCACACAGTGTCCCATCGCAAACCAGAGGCTGAACAGGGCTTCTATCAGTCCTGCTGGGATTGTTAACTAACACCTGGCAACCTTGGTGAGGTCAGACCTTTTAGTGACATTATTTCAGTCTAGCAGGTACATTTTATACTGAAAATACATTCCATGATTCCTTCTATTGAGTAAATCAATTGTATCCAAATGTTCCTTTTGTGAATTAGAATCCATTTTCTTGTTTTGACTTAAACAGAATTTTAAAGCCTTAGTGTCTCCAGAATGAAATGAAGCCCACTATTCAACACATTCGTTTAAAGTGTTGGGGGAAACGAGAAGCTTATGGGGTTTTTAAACTATTAGGAAAGCCTCCCAGTGCTCAGTGTAGTAGTCTGAGGTCTGATTTAATGTAGTTGGGAAGATGTACTGTCCAAGGGTGAGCAGCTGAAGCCTTTGCAGTTTTGTCTTGGAGTTCAGTCTGCTGACCTTGCACAACGCTGACAGCACAGCAGCTGAAAAGGTGGTTCCCAAGATTTGAAAGCTTACAAACAAGAGGAGGCCATTCTAATTTCTTACTGATCCCAGGACCTTCTCCATGTGTTTCTTAAAAAAGCCAGGATTTCAGTCTCAACCACTTGGCTGTTTAGCTTGATACATATTCCCACAGCCTCCTTTCCTATGTAGTTTCGTATTGTGACAGTTGCAATGTCCACAGTCATGACTCTGCGGGGCTCAGCCTGCATGCTGTAAATGTGATTGTACTGCCCACTCCACTTAGAAGCCCTGAGACATGTTTTTTACAGCAAAACCAGCAAACCTTGAATCTTTTTTTCTTTCTGATTCATTTCTGATAAACACTTCATTCTGTCTCCTTCTGTGTCCTGTCCC